AGCTAAAGGGAGTTTTAGAGTGCAGTTTTGGGATCTGACATACAACAGCCAGCAGTAGCTCTTGGGAGCTGTATGTACCCAGGACACAACTTGATTTATAAAAGCCACAGTATTTTCAGATTTATAGGACTGCCACAGAAGTGCTTGAGAAGGCATTTCAGCCTTTCTACCATACTATTTCTTCTAATGAGCCTTCTCATTATCAGAGCTCTTGCTTAGCCAGCTGTGCTTTCTGTAATTAAACTCACTGACAGAGAATTTGACTAACATTTCCACATAGGTTTCAGCATTTCTCTATTATTCCAAATTCCAAAATAAATTAAAAGTGTACCATGATATCTCTTCAGTTTATTTTGTTCCAGTAGTGTTTTCACTTTTTTGACCAGCTCTTCTCTGTTTTTTTCCATGAGCCTTCTGTCTTTCTTCATTTGTTCCAATTGTTCTACCATCTTGTTTTCTAAAGATATTACAATTATATTTAGCAATCATCCGGATACTGCAAGGAGGAAAGATCAATCAAGATTTTTATAATTCACCCCTCATATATCATGCCAAAAACTTTGCTAGAATAGGCAGTAGAAAATCTTTTATTTTAATAAACCATCTAAATTTTGGAAATGGCTGTCACATTAGAAGAAACTGAGAAGTCCAGCATGCATTCAGGCATTTATATACATGCAAACAGTACAAATCCTGTTAAATGCCTGTGGAACATATTGGAATAATTACTTTCAAAAACTATTTAGATGCATATGCATTGAAAACTCCTGACAGATAAGGATAAAAAAACCTCTTGAGGACTACTTCCTGCTTAAAATATTTCTGATAAAATCTGTAGCAAAATCTTGCCTTAAACGATAGATGGCAAATAGGTAAGATAATATCTCAGACTTTAACTAGCGTGCAACTATAGGTCAATCACGAACATTTTTGATGTATTTCTCCTATAATCCAACTGAGGATCATCAGCAAGTGACCATCTTTGCTACATTCTAATGTAAACCAACAGTATTTTACCCAGTCTCCCTCCTTATCTCCGCCATTTTCCAAACACAAAATTTGTAACAATCTGATGAGTAAATATATGCACAAATTCTTTCAAAAGGTAAGTATTTCCATCTTCATTAACCAACCTTGATTACATGGTAACTCCCCAGAAATTTCTTGGAAGCACATACTTTCTGCCTGAACTGTTGGAACTTGAGCTGGGCTTACAGAAATTGCCAGAAGAGGTAGACTAGGAGAAGCATATTCTTTTGGACAAGTAGGATCATTTTGCTTGTTGTCATTTGCCTAGTGAGTCAAAAGACAAGTACATGATTTACAATCCAGAATAGTACATTAAACATACATTCTGAGAGTGGTCTGAGTGATTGTGACGGATTAATGGATCCTGAATACGATCTCTTTTTTATTCTGTGTTACCTGTAGGAGTGATTACTAAATTCCCAACAGATGGACATCTGCCAACAGAATCAGAACAGTCAACACTGAAACTGCAGAGGAAAACACAAGGTCCAAGTTGTACACTATTGCTAAATATTCTTGTCCACGTCCACCAGATGCTGACATACCCATATGATACCAGAAATAACTGGCTTTAAAACTATGCTCATTGGGTAACAAAAGCTGGACTGCCCATTTCTAAACTAGAACTTATAATAGCTCACAGGTGACAAAATAATAGTGAAGATATTAGGCTGTATGACTGCAGACTGTGTCTTCCTAAATATGTCTTTATTCTGATGCTATGACAATTCCATGCATATGCTTTAAATAATTTTGTATTTTTAATGAAATGTTTTGCTTGAGATAAAACTAATATTTATCCCATTGGAAATAACTAAATTATAGAAAATGCCATTGATAAAGTCAATACAATGTCACTATCAAGAAATTGTAAATAATAATAATAATTAATAAATTGGCTAATATTAATAAGATTGAGGTGGTTACTATATAAATAGATTATAACCAAAGGTATCACTTCCCATGATTTCATTATTTAGAAATATAGTTGATTTTCCTTAGCAAATCTCCGAAGTAGCACTGAGTGAATTAACTTTACTCAGTTACTGTAAAATCTACGTCAAACATTTCATATTTCTAATGAAATTAGAAATATTGAATATTTCTAAATATGAAATTACTCGTCTTATAAAATTACCCTTTTTCTAGGTGGAGGATTATGCTTACTGCTCCACATTACAAAGAACATTCTAATTTGAAAAACAAACCTCACCATCCAGGTTTTCACCAAGAACAGTTACAGACTTGCTAGTTCTGTGTGGCAGCAACCTAAAGATAAAATTGAAGAATTATGTAATAATTAATGGAATGATGTGGGGTTTATTTTCCATTTTCTTTCACTTATTTGAAGCTGGTAAAATAAGCTTCTAGTCATGAATTGATGGTATTCACTGTTTTGTCAGAATCATTATTTACTAACCTTTGGTTTTTGTGTATGTATTCTGTGGTTTGGTCTTCCAGTGTTCTAAGAATTCCAGAATGCTGTGTTCTGTCTCCTCTTAGTTTGCCATCTTTTTGGTGATCATTATTTTCCACTTTTGTAATTAGCCTGCTGTTCAGTTCTGTGACAGGATAGTGATAACCAAAACATATAGATTACAATCATAAACTTCAAGCACTTTTGACCATAAGTCAGTTCAATACATAAGATTATCTCTGGGGTAAATCATGTTTTTGTGATTTAGGAAATAAATAAATGAAAAAAACACTTGTTTTAACAATTTGTATCTATCTCATTCTGGTAAATAGTAGAGAAACATTACAGCAGATAAAGAAATAATTTAAATTACATTTCCTACTACTTTCTGCCTTTCAGAGACTGAAATTCTCTGACAAACTGGTAAAGAAAGCCAGCAAAACATTCTGCATTTGAATGTTATCAGCTTTAAGTTGTATACAGTAAATCTTTCAGAAGAAAACTGCTGACAGACTTTACCTACACTTTATGCAACAAAATCCCACATCCTTCATCATTCAAAACAAAGTTATGGAAAACTTTTGTGTATATATGTAAATACACATATATATGTATTCTGCATTGACAGGCTTCAAACTTCAGTTGACATGATAATGGAGGGACAACGCTATTATTTATGGATTATGAATAGAAACTGAAAAGCCTTTTCTAACACACTCTTCAGACATGTCTCAAAGAACACAATATAAATTTTTTTTTGTTTTCTTACTCAAAATACTATTTATCAAGAATAATTTTAAATGAGATCAGTAAAGTGCCCATAACTATGACAAAATTGAATATAATCTCCTTTAATAATTCCTTATTAAAAATTTGCAACAAAAGAAGGTTCACCTTTTCATATTAACTGTAAAATTATACACAAATATTAAGATTTGTCTTTCAAAATTATTTCTTAATAATTTATTTTATCATTTTGATGCTAATTTAATAGTGGTCACTCAAATCCAATTTGAATGCTTTGGTCACTTCTTCATTTGTAATTACTAGAAATTTAGGACCATTAAGAACATCAAATAACAGTTTAAAGACAATTTCCCTCAATATCCTAAGGCACCCCATTTTATAGAAAATAGTCAATAGATGTCTCTCAGACATTTTCTATCTGGGAGCAGAACTGCTACCCAGTTTATGTGAGCTTTAAATCCCTCCATACTCTTGTACTGTCTTCACTATAGTCTGTTCAAAGAGTTCTCTTTAAAACTGCCACTGTTCACTAATATTAAATAACAGTAAATCCACATGACATAGGAGAGAGGGTAGAATGCCGTTTCCCTTCAGTAGCAACATAGCCATGGATAACAATGAAAGATGAAGTGAATGAATTGCTTTCCATTGTTTCCTGATAACAATTTTTTTTTTCATTTAAAATTGCTTTTGAATTACAGGATCATTACCTTCTTTGAAAGATAATATTATTTTTAAAATTAGAGTACTGCTCTGACAGCAATATTCCAACTTATGCTGTACCAACTGATGTTTTTAAATTTAGCTTTGCTCTGCCAATTTTCTAGAAAGCTTGGTTTAGCAACAAGATGACAGTGAACCGTACCCTTTGGATATGTCATGTGATTTTGATGTGTTTGGTTATTTTGGTCTTGTTCATCACTGTGGTTTACATGAAGAGTAAGAGCAGTTCCTTTGGCTTTGTCATTCCACTTAGGAGCAGGAGGCTCTTTTGGATCCCAGCTGAGATGGCTATGCTGGGAGTTCTTTTGTCCTATACAGCTTTTTCCAGTCCCTTGATCTACAGGATTTAAAAGACTTGCTGTGAAGAGAGATCCCTTGGATCCAATTTGATCTACAAAATAATTGATATAGAAAAGAGAAATATTATTTCATGGTAAATGTTAACTATAATAGTTCTTTTTCTTCACTGCACTGGTTAAACATACCTTTCACTCTGAACTGTGCCTGTGTTTCTGTAATCATGTTGTGGTCTTGCTCATGACTCATATGCAATATGGGAAGAGATTCCTTCTCAGACCATGCTGCAGGACTGTACACTTTCTGATTTTCTAGCTGATGACTGCTCTGTGTGTTTTCTAAAAATTGTTTGCTTTCAGTTTTCTGTTGGGGAAGGTTAGGAAGTCTTGATCCATGACCATACCTATTAGTTTCTGCATTAAAGTGATGTTTTTGTTGTGTTGATGATGATAATGGATAAACATCTTCAAAATAGTCCACTTGAGGTAATAAATATAATTCAGGATACAGTGCCTAAAATATGCAGTATATTAACCAGACATAAAAGAAGAAATGTGCAAAGCTTTTGAAAATGATATCTTAAATGCCATAAAATACATACATAAGGGGGAGCAAATGACTTCAGTTTCAGCTCTGCTTCTTGCTTTGCTTTCACCTGGAAGATAAAAAACAGAAGATAACTGATAAAATACTTCTCTTACCAATAATGTTGTGCATTTAATAATTAGTGTTGTTAATTTGTATTCTATTTTCTGTCTTTACATACTACGTTTTTCTTCCGCAACAGCCTGATGGAGAGAAGAAACACAGAATGCTACTCCCTTTTTTCTGACATGGCACTAAAACTATTCTGTGTTTCAAAATTTAAATCAGACACACAAGTATACATGTATGTGTTTCTGCTGTGGTTCAAAGGACTCAACCCAACAGTGACAGCAGTAGAAAGTCCGTCTTTACTAGAAGTTGCTTCAAGTCAACTCTGAATAGAAATGCCAAGTCTAACATAAATGTCTCTATTCACCTCATACAACAATGCAGCATATTTGGTGGCTATAGAAAAAAAAAAAATTATAATTCTCCTATGTCTTATAGTATTTATTGCCTTGCTATTCTTTGTGTGATGTATGTTTTCAGATTTCAACAGCTGTTATAAAATAAATAAATCAAAGATAATCAATATAAACTGGAAAGACCATTAGAAAACACCATTAGAAAAAAAATAAAAATTCTGAGCTTGCAATTAAGCAATGAAATAACAAAACTGAATTAGACAAGGGGCCAAATTCGGTTCTCAAAAATGGCCACGCAATGAGACACAAACTACATAAAAGGAAGAACAAATTAAAATAGTTTTGTCTGGAGTTCATTTTTCATTTAAAGACCTACACTTGCAAGCAGAATACAACTCAGTACTGTTTACATTGTAATCGTTGTGAAATGGAACACTGAGAAAATAAACAAACTCAATAAATATTTGATCATGGAGAGGTAATTCAATTAGGTTACCATGACCCTAACAATAAATAAACTAGTTATTTGGTTCATTGTTAGTTTTTTGGTTCATTGTTTTACCCTCTGTTACAAAGCAAATATAAAGCAATGCTAAATTATATCTTTAATTCATTGCTAAAAACCTTTACTTGTACCTACTAATATATTTAATTGTCTATTAAAAGCAAAATATGTTATTAAATCCCTTGTCATTCTCAAGGGAGCTGGAAAATTTCTCCATTTACCTCAGATCTAACAGTGAGGAAGAAAATATACCATCTCAGTTGCTATCATCCAGTTAAAAATATCTGAAATGTTTGAAGGTTTATGCATATTTTCAGATTTAGGTTGCACCACAGTCCTGAAGCTCCTGTTCAAGCCTTTCCACCTACTTTTTACACATTACTTGTTATTTATTTTGGATTTCTATATGGGTAATTTTAGTGACATTGACTATAAATGAAATCAAGACCAACTTTCTGCCCTGTAATTAATTTCCAAATCCATTTCCAAGCAGGTGAAAAAAGTCTTTAATATCTATATACATGTATCCATATATATATCTGTCTACATACATAAGTATATAGGTTTTTTGTGTGTTAATCAAATGCACTTTCAGTCAATCTGATTTTCAAGTTTATTTACTTTAGCTATAGTTTGTAGCATAGCTAAATATAGAGAAAATCAGAGTGAGGAACAATTATGATTCAGAGACAGTTTTTTGATTGCAGAAGCCTCCTCAAGCTGTATTAGTGGACTGATTCAAGGACATTAAACGTACCTTCAGAGAAGCTTTCATTCAGAGACTGATCTTTAAAGGCTATTGGACAGGTTGCAGGTTCCTCCCTTTTAAGGAATTCTGACTTACTCAACTCTGTTGCAAATTCTTCAAATGCCATACTCCTAACCATGTACTGGCAATAACGACCTTGGGGGTATGTTTTTTATTCAGCTAGAATAGTTACATTTAACCTATTGTCTTAGCATCTTCCACTGGATTGCAACTAATTACATTTGATGATTTAAAGGATAACATTCCTGTCCACCTGTGTGTTTGTATTTGGGGAAACAGACAAGAGCTCATTCTTGAACGCATCTAAAAACGAATGGTGACAGAGCACCTAACGTTACCTAGTGGGTAGCATCCCTGCCCAAGGCAGTGGGGTTGGAAATGGATGATGATTAAAGTCCCTTCCAACCCAAGTTGTTCTACAAGGGCTGCTCCAAAAGTAGTGCCTCCTGTTTTACTACATTGGCCCACAATGTCAGAGGTGGATGTTGGTGGGATGGCAGTAGAGGTTGAACCTTCTCACCAACATCCCATTAAATTCTGTTGCCATACGACAGATGGCAGCAGAGGGGCAGTCTGTCAGAATGGCGTCTGACATGGAAGTACGGATGAAGCAAAGGTGTGTCAATGAACTGCTCTAAAAGGAGCAATGGCACCCACTAACATTCATTGATGCTTGCTGAATGTTTATGGAGACCAAACAGTGAATGTGAGCACAGAGAAGTGGTGGGAGGTGCATTTCAGCAACGTGAAAGACAAGCCATGTTTTGGACAGCTCATACGCATTTCATATCATGAAATGAAAAGTGTCTGTCAATCAACTCATCTACACAGTTGGCTAATGGTGGTGACTACATTGAAAAATAGTACTGTGTGTAGCTGAGAATTTGTTCTATCAAATAATGTTATTATTCTCTTTGTGTATGTTGTATTTTCCATGAAAATAAACAGGAGGCATTACTTTTGAAGTAACCTACATATGATTCTGTGATATTTTCTAAACGACAGGGACTAAATCCATAGTTTACATTATAAAGAAGAAGTTCATTAAAGGAAAAAAATATATATGTATATATATAAATGAACTTACCACTGCAAGCTTTTTCCCAATGCATTTTAAAAATTGGAATTTGTCTGCAACTGCAACTCCACCCAGGTACTCTCCAAGCTTCTCCCGTAGCATTCTTAATGTAGTGTGAGGAGACACCCTAGAATGTAGTTATTCATTAATACATCTGTAAGATCAAACAATGATGGCTAGCTAGTAAGAGGGGAAAGATAATGATATTTAAATATTGGTTTGCATGGAAAGAATGAACAAAAAAGGGAACTGTTTTCTGAAACAGTACCTTATTACTTATAGGTAGAGATGTTTGGTGTGGTAGAAATCAGTACTTTGTATCATGTTATGGTAGACTGTATTACAAAGGCTGTCATAACATCAGCTAGCAATATTCATACTTAAGGAATCCCATATGAAGCGAGTATATGAGAGTGTCTGAAATTTGAAAAAGATTCCTTTAGGAATCCTTTAGGAATGAATAACAAAAGCATTGGAAACTACAGTCATACATTTCCATTTGGGTGGACTGTCGGACATCCACATTTAAACACTAAGGACAACAGGATAATTCATCACTTTAAGTGCCAAGCACATTCCTTTGGTTTTCTCTTCTCCAACACTAATTTATAGTAGGGTGTGTGTATATGTACACGCAAATGTATTTTAAATCAAAACCAAACACTGTATTGTAAACATTTCTATCATAGTTTCAGGATGAGAGAGCTTATGCAAACACAAATTAGATAATTTAATCTACTACAGGAAATTATGCAAATATCAAAGTAATGAACTCAGTACCAAAATCATCATATTACAGAATCATATCTTCAGCCTGGGTTGAAAAGGACCTCAAAGATCATCTAGTTTCAACCCCCCTGCCATTGGCAGGGTTGCCAGGCACTACTAGACCAGGCTGCCCAGAGCCACATCCAGCCTGGCCTTGAATGCCTCCAGGGATGGGGCATGCACAGCAACCTGTTCCAGTGCGTCATCACTGCATGACAAACTTCCTCCAAATATCTATTCTAAACTTCCCCTATCTTTGTTTGAAACTATTCCCCCTTGTTCTATCACTACCACTGTCTTTCCCCCTCCCTTTTACATGTTCCCTTCAAGTACTGGAAGACCACAATGAGGTCTTCCCAGGGCCTTCTCTTCTCCAAGCTAAACAATCCCAGTTCCCTCAACTTTTCTTTAGAGGTGCACCAGCCCTCTGATCATCTTAGTGGTCCTCCTCTAGACTTGTCCCAAGAGCTCTGCATCTTTTTTGTGGTGGGGGCCTCAGGCCTGGATGCAGTACTCCAGATGAGGCCTCACAAGAGCCAAATAGAGGGGGAAAATCACCTCCCTCTTCCTGCTGGCCACCTCTTTTTTAATGCAGCCCAGAACACAGTTGGCCTTCCGGGCTGCAAATGCACACTGCTGGCTCATGTCCAGCGTCTCGTCCATCAGGACACCCAAGTCCTTCTCTGCAGGACTGCTCTCAAGGAAACCTTCCCACAGTTTATATAAATACCTTCGGATTGCCCTGGTCCAAGTACAGCACCTTGCACTTGGCCTCGCTGAACCTCATTAGGTTCTCATGGGCCCACTTCCTCGCCTGTCCAGCTCCCTCTGAATGGCTTCCCTTCCCTCCAGAGTATCAACCACAGTGCTCAGCTTGGTGTCATCTGCAAACTTGCTGAGGGTGCATTCAATTGCAATAATAAATATGCACCTCCACAGATTGAAACCAAATGTGCAAGAGTCACAAAAAAGCTCTGCATCACAACATGAGCAGTTCTAATTGCTTCTATGTTGCCATATAAAACAAACCAGGGAACAAAATCAGGCCTGAGACTGTTAATCATCCATGCTGCTGAAGTGTTAGTACATTACCTAGCAGCATTTCATACCTACCAGGGTTTTGGGCCAGGCCAGCTGTCACTCTTCAAGAGATGCTCAGATATAGCTTGGGGTACGGGACATACCGTTCTCAGTAAACAGTATGGACAAGGACATACCAACCCTTCATCTTGGGCAGATCTTCAGCACTGACCCAGCGAAGTTGCACTCTATGCCTTCATTTCACATCCATTGTATGTAAAACACCCCCAGTTGCACTCAATAAAAACTGTGTTTCAGTGAGCTACAGTGTTTCCTACATGTTATTTCACACATGGGACTCAAACGACCCTCCTCAGGATTATAATTCTGCCTTGGAGCACAGGAGCTCAGGACACCCAGGGCCAAGCAGTCTGCAGAGTGGACACATCTAGGCCATCCTACTTTGTCCCTGAACATTTAGCTTCTGCTTATTTCTTTGCTATCCACTTTTTGCCCACATCTGATGCAGATTTTGGCCCTAATGTCATTTATTTCAAGTGTATAAAGAAATATGTGAAAGATGAAAACATAATTCAACACACACCCTGCCAGGGCCGTATGTGAGAAGAGAGATGATCTGTAATTCAAATATGTCTCCTCTAACCTTTTCTCAAACTGATTTCTCAAAGAAGATATGTCCTTTGAACTATCTGCTGAAATCCAAAAATTGCAAACTCTTTTAGAGGCAATTCTAAAATTGTGCATCCTTCACTGATAATGCCCTTTCAAACGAGCAGAGAAATCTAAATCTAAGGTATGTATGAACAGCAAGGAAAACAGTCAAGTAACTATGATAATGTATCACAGAAGAAAAGGAATACACAACAGAAATTAATTGAAAAATGTTTGCTAGTGCAGCTGCTATGAACATATAATGATGTATTTCTTACTTGCTGCCACTGGCTAACAGAAGCCTAGTCACACTGAGTCATTTCCTTCAAAGTGTTCCTTTAAAAATGATGCAAACTAGAGTTTACTGCAGCAATCTCATCTAGAAATAACAAAAGTATTGGTTCTGTGGTGAGGAATGAGGAATAAATAAAAAATCATGTATGCTGAGAAATCAAGTTCATGGGAACAAGAACCCTGAGCTGCAGATGATTATACACTTAATATTTTCCTCTAATTTCATGATTAATGGAAGTGGCCTGTACTTACATCTGGCAGTCCTTTGTTGAGCTGACACACACAGTAATAGGATCACCAAACTGGATGGGCAGAGCTATCAGCACGATTTGCACAGGCAGGGCTGCTGTTCCCTCTCCCAGGTTAAACTAGAGAAGGTTCTTAACATATTTTATGTTTTTAAAGACAGTGATAAGCTGGTCCAGTGTTAGTTACTGCTAGAGTCTATGTCCTGCAGCATTGTATTGCACCACTGAATAATTAATAATTAATTACTTTACACTCTTTAGTATGCAACAAATACCTAGACATATCACCAAACTGCAGAATGGCTTGGGTTGGAAAGGACCTCAAAGACTATCTGGTTCCAATTTCTGCCACAGCAGGGTCACTCCCACTAGATGAAGCTGTCCAGGGCCCCATCCAGCCTGGTCTTTAACACCTCCAGGGATGGGGCATCCACAGCTTCTCCAGGCAGCCTGCTCAGTGCCTCATCACCTTCACTGTGAAGAAGTACTCATTAATACCTAATTTAAATCTACCCTTTTTTAGTTAAAATTGTCATCCCTTGTCCAGTCACTACAAGGCCTTGTAAAAAGTTTCTCCCCCTCCCTCTTACAAGCCCCATTCATTGCTGAAAGGCTGTAATAATAATTCCCTGCAGTCTTCTCCTCTACTAGGCTGAACAAGCCCAGATCACTTAGCTTGTCTTCATATGAAAGGAGCTCCAGCCAGGAGAGGATATCCAGATCATCTCCTCTCTGGACCTGCTCTAATAGATCCATGTTTCTCTCGTGTTACAAACTCATTGAAATCAATTAGAATCCTAATTTAAGTTGTTGCTTCAGAACTGAGCCTTAATGAAATAAACTTACTCCAGAGTATGCAGGGCAGACACGTGAAATGATTTACCACTCCTTCTATGTATTTTGCACCTCTACTGCAGATTTGTTCATTAGAGTGGATATGTGCACTTACTTTATTTGGTTTTGAGCAGAATTTCAACAAAAGAAGCTGCAAGAATGAATACATTCTGCTCTAAATGCTCACACCTGGCTGCTGCCAATTTTTTCAGTTACATAATATATTGTCTTCAGGGGACAATACAAGCTTAAATTTAAACGAGTTGAAACCTGCAAATCCAGCTAAGTTGACAGATTTTGCACATGAACAGAGGAGATGCATGTAAAAGCTCCATTCCAACACAAACCTTTACATTATCTGACTTTCTCTGCAACTTCTTCCTATGGCAAACACACACAGATTTTGTGAGCAAAGTGTTTAGGAGCACAGACCAAACTGTCAAAGGATTCTTCCACAAAGTCCTCTGAGAGCTATCTGAGAGCACACACTGTGGGCAGCCTTTTAGAAATATTACAGAAGGAAGAAGATATGCAGATGGTTTCTCAGGCTCTAATGCATCCCTTTTAGGTATGTGGCTTAATCTTTTTCTTTAGATGAAGAGGGCTCAGTGACAGGCTTTCCCACCTCCACTGAGCCACTCCATCTCAAAGCTGGTACACCATGGAAAAGAATTTAAGATTTTAATAGTCAAACTCCAGAAGCATAAGACTGTGATTTTACAACAGAAAATATTCTGCAGCAATACTAGCACTGCTCTGAAAGTACATTTCAATGGTTTAAATCAAGGGCTGCATTGGCCTGGTACAGTGCAAACAGAACCAGAATGAGAGGTAATAGCTCTTAATTGTGCTGGGGAGTTTCAGGTTGGATATTAGGAAAAATTTCTTCTCTGAAAGAGGGGCGAGGTGTTACACCAGGATGCCCAGGGAGGTAGTAGAGTCACTGTCTTTGGAGGTTCAAGAAACTGAGGGACGTGGTTATTGGGCATGGAGGGGATGGGCGGGTGGTTGGACTTGGTAAACTCAGTGGTCTTTTCCAACCTTAATGATTCTATGAAA